AAGGCAAAGACTGCTGCAGGGTCTGTGGGAAGGTACAACTGTGGGTGTCGTTACAGCCATCTTGTAACCATGAAGATACAAGCATGGAGCAAAATGCCAACATGCTAAGGATAGTAGAGCAGAAAAACATAAGAGCTTGGGGGCCTCAACCAAAACCCATTACTATTTACCTCCAGATCCTTGTTATGTGTGAAAACCAAATCCTTATTTGTTTAAGCCTCTGTTAGTACTGGTAATAATATAGGAACAGTGCTGACACTGGTCACCAAATACAGGATTGGGCAAAAGTAGGTTCACAGTTGTTCATATGGAAAACAACACAACAATTAATAAGTAATAATACAAGAGTAAACTCTGCTTTGTGTACTCACAACTGTAAACCTACGTTTGCCCCATCCTGTATACTGCTAATCAGATACATATATGTCTTTTGACCTAGCCATTCCTATGTGTGACTCCATCCTAAAGAAATGAAAGTACCTGTATTTAGAGATGTATATATAATATCGTTTTGGGATGCAAAGAACTAAGAACAAATTGAATGTCTATCAATAGTCATATGGCTGAATAAAATGGAGTGTATACACACAATTAAATGTTACATAACTATGAGAGAATAATTTAGACCAGTAATTTTCAACTGGTGTGCTGCAAGAATTTTTAAAACATTCATTACCTGGCTACTTACTTAGGGGCACTGATCTCATTTCCCTTAGATTATCAAATAAAAAAATGACAACAGCCAACGTAACAATAGCCGTCTAGTGTGAATGAATCAAAATCACACCTATTTTTGGTCAGATCAGCCAAAAATAATATATGTTTGTGTGCACTGCAGAAATTTAGTAATTAGTTTATGTATAGCATGAGTGAAAAAGATTGAAAATAGCTGATTTAGACTGATGTCTATTGACGTTGAGGGATGTTCATGATGTATTATTATTACGTAAAAAATAGCAAATTGAATAGTTAAAATTTATAATATAATCCATTTATTAGTGAAAAAATTCTGATATGTGTATAAATGTTTGTATAAGTCTACACAAAAGGGTAAAATTGCCTGCAGGAATGAGGGAAGTTACATAATTGAGTAAAACAAGCCTAATAGAAAAAATAAGCTACTCTATTATTAAACTTTATTTTTGTTGATCTATGAAGAAAACCATCTATGATATAAATGATATTGACAATTATGTTTTAAATATCAAATTAAATAGTAGAAATATTTTTGTTTTCTCATTCCTTCTTTGTAGAACATGAATTCCAATTATAATTCTCCCCATATCGATTCAAAGATATGTTTCATTTTCTTTTAATGTGGAGGAAAGTGAGCCAGGTTATTTCTTGTCACATAAGTTTTCCAAAGTCATAGTTTCTCTAGAACAATCAAGGCAAATCATACATTTGAGGAACTACTTGCGAATGCTCTTCAAAGTCATTCTGAAGGTATTTTCTTGACAAAGAAAAATACCAAGAATTGATTCCATTTTAATCGATGAGTTTGAGGTGGAGACCTTTCCTCAGATGCATGAACGATGTAATTTCTCTCCCCATAGTTAAAATTGCATTTACATCAAGACACTAGTTAGCCACATAACCTCTGTGTAGTGCAGCACCCAGCCATATTGTACAGCCAATTCATTGTGCATTGAACTGTCTGGGTCAAGCTGGAGTGGGAATCTAGTACATAGAGTTAATTATTACATCCATCTTGTGTTCTCTTCTTACTCTTTTAGCAACAAAGACATTCCTGGGGAATGACACAACGAATTTAAATTCCGCTTCCTTGCTGAGTAATGCCGCCGTGGAAGTAAGTTTCATAAGATAGTCCCATGTTAACATCAACATCACAGCAATTATGCTGACTAATTATGACCTGTCTACATTAAACTTTTCAAGAATGTTCTCAATGCAAAATAATTTATTTCCCAATGTTGTCTAACGTGAGCACATGTCCCAAAATTCTTATGTTAAAAACTGCAAAGCCAAAACCATTAACACCTACTGGGTTCCATGAATAAGCATAGCTAACCATATGATATTATTCAGATTTATGCTCTCATCAGTTATAAGAAAAATTATTTGTTTTCAACTAACTTGTCCTGAATGTTTTGAACCTGATTGCATCATGCTGAGCAACAGTATTTTCGGCAAATGTATATTTGTGTTGAGACAAAAACAATCAAAATTTCAGTCCATTTCTTTAGTTCAATGACTTTTTCAAATGATTTGTTTTTTCCTTTTCTGTGTAATGGGGTCTTTAGTTGTCTTTTTTGTTTTAGTAATAGCTTTATTGAGATGTATTTGATATACCATAAAATTCATCCTCTTTAGGTATACAATTAAGCAGTATTTAGTGTACTTACAAAGTTGTGCAACCATCACCACTACTTAATTTTAGAACACTTTTAATGTCCTCCCCCCCAAAATGCTATACTCAATAGCAGACACTCTTTCCTGCTCTCTCCTGGCCCCAGACAATAACTAATGTATGGATTTGCCTATTTTATATATTAGACATTTCATGAAAATAGAACCACATTTAAGAAACCCCATTAACCGTTGGTGGACATTTGTTTCCCCCCTGCTTTTTAAGCTATAACAAATAATGTTGCTATGAACATCATGCATAAGGTTTTGTGTGAACATTTTAATTTCTCTTGTGTCTATGCCTAGGAGCAAAATTTCTGAGTCAGATAGTGACTCTATGATTAATAATTTGAGGGACTTTTTCCAAAGTGGTTACATCGTTTTGCATCATACCAGCAATATATGAGGGTTTAATTTCTCCATTTCCTTGCCATCGCTTACTAGTATCTGATTTTTTAATTCTAATCATCCTAGTGGGCGTGAAGTGGTATCTCACTGTGGTTTGTTTGCATTTCTCTGATGAGTAATAATGCTGAGCACCTTTTCACGTGCACATTGGCCATTTATATGTCTTTGGAGAGATGTTTATCTAAATCCTTTTCCCTTTTATTTATTTATTTTTATCATTTTAAAATATATTTTTATTGATTTCAGAGAGGAAGGGAGAGGGAGAGACAGACAGAAACATCAAAGATGAGAGAGAACCATTAATTGGTTACCTCCTGCAAGACCCCCACTGGGAACTGAGCCCACAACCTAGGCATGTGCCCTGACCAGGAATTGAACCATGACCTCCTGGTTCAAAGGTTGATGCTCAACCACCAAGTCACACTGGCCAGGCCCTTTGCCAATTTTCAATTAATTTGTCTTTTTATTGTTGAATTATGAATTCTTCATATATTTCAGGTACTTGACTGTTATTATATATATGATTTAAAAATATTTTCTCCCATTCTATCTTTTTATTTTCTTGATGGTGTTCTTTTATACACAAAAGATTTTAATTATTTTGGATTCCAATTGATCTATTTTTTCTGTTGTTGCTTGTGCTTTTGGTGTCCTGGCTAAGAACCATTTTCTAGCCTAAGTTCAGAAGATTTACTCCTATGTTTTCTCTAAGAATTTTTATGGCTTTAGTTCTTATTTAGGTTTATGATCTATTTTGAGTTGATTGTTACATATGGTATGAGATAGGGGTTCAACTTCCTTAGTTTGCAGGTAGACATCCAGTTGTTTTAACACTATTTGTTGAAAAGACGACTCTTTTCCCATTGTATTGTCCTGGCACCCTTATCAAAGATCAGTTAGCCATAGGTATATGGCTTATTTTTGGACTTTCAATTCTATTCCACTGATCTATGCTTTAAAGCAATTTAAGCTATCCTTGTGCCAGTGCCATACTGCTTTAATTACCATTCCTTTGTAGTTAGCTTTGAAATCAGTAACTGTGAGTCCTCCTACTATGTTCTCCTTTGTTTTGCTTGGTCCAGATAACCTGTAATTCCGTATGAATTTTAGAATCAGTGCATTAGTTTCTACAAAGTCAGAGATTGCTTTGGGTCTGTGGACCAATCTGGGGAGTATTGCCATCTTAATAATGTGAAGTCTCCAATCTATGGACTTGGGATGTGCTTTGGGTGAGTTGGGAAGGTTCTCCATGGGGTTCCCGGTAGGCTTCACAGAGAGTGAGGTGTAAACCTGTTCTTTTTAAAACCTGAATTTATTGGGGTGACATTGGTTTGTAAAATGATGCAGGTTTCAAGTGAAAAACTCAGTGAAACATCATCTGCACACAGCATCACGTACCCATCCCCCAGATTAGTGGAGCTGTCCCCTTGCCCAGCTCTCAATTCCATCTTTCTGACTTCCTGAGAGGGCCTCTCTCAAAGGACTTGAACTTGCCACAAAGACTTCATGGCAGCAGGGGCTCCTCTCATCCTAGGTTAGCTGTGCAGCTGCACATCAGAGCCTGAAGCTTCCATTGGAGCAAATGTACTGAAAGAGGACTTTTCCCCTCTCTCCTATTTCCCATTCAGCATAAATGTCGCTATGTTTTAATTCCCATTTTCAAAATTTGGCTCCCGGAAAAGCCACCGCCCACTTGTGTATGACCTCAAGCTTTAGCCATATGGTATTCCTCATGGCCCTTGTTGCCACAGGTGTCTTCTCACTTCCCTGCCTCTGATGATCCCACTTGAAAGGAGGCCCAAGCTTTCCAGAGTGCTCAGGGGCTAACATCTGTTGGACATTAAGGATACCCAAATATGGGCCAAGGTGGGATGCCCTGGGTGGGTATGAGGTACTTGCAGCCCCAGGCATCAAACCTCTCCTATGCCATCTGCTCCCTGGGGCCTGGTATATTCCAAAGGGTAATAGGGATTGGATTAAATCACTGGGAGAGATTGAAAATAATGCCCAAGGTTATAAAAATAGTAAAGTACAACATGGGGAATATAGTGAATAATACTGTGATAATGATGTATGGTACCAGATGGGTCCTAGAATTACTGTGGTGATCATTTTGTAAGGTATATAAATGTCTAATCACTATGTTGTATACCTGAAACAAATAATACGTCAACTGTAATTGAAAAAATTAAAAAAATGCTCATGAAAGAAAAGTTCCAGTCTTGATTTAGGAAAACAAAAGTTCATTCCTTCATTTTTTTTCAAACAAGGTACAGTACAACGGAACAATGCACATCAATGAAAAAATGCAACTGCATTTTCTATTGCTCACTACTCTTTAAATAATTCAGGTATTAAGGAAAAGATGGCTAATCACATTAATGCATTACAGAAATCAAAATTAACTTACCACACAAAATAAATTAAAACATTAAATATTAACCTTTTCAGTGCAACATATACAGAAGTCTGAGTAACAAGTTCTAAAAAAAAAAAAAGCATCAGGTTTGTATAATAAAGAGAATGAAAAGTTGAACACTTCAGTCAGTTATTACATAAGAAAGAGGGGTCGCTTTTCAGTACTGTGTGTGTGCTTACCACGGGATCTTTCAGAGAGTCTGGTAAAAATCAGTGGCTACAGAATATAGGTCTTATGTTAGAACATTAAGAGCAAACATAGGTGTTTATCTGTTTCTGTGATGTCCCCCATGGTCCTGGGCTTTTGAATCATCCCCCCTACCCCTCTTTACTGAGCAGGTTGGGAAAAACCAAAGCCAAGATCCTACTAAAAGGGTCAGGGTCCCCTGAGCAGTGTCGGAGTCTGGTTGACCCATTCTTGCCAAAATTGCCTGGAAAAACACCAGTAGCCCATGTGCAGAGACAACCTGGCCCTGGAAGACCTGGTTGGAGATGCCAGACACTTCTACTTGTAGAGAATAGTCTCCCAAGAAGCTCTAGAACCACACTCTCCCTTCCCTCACCAAAGTGGGTGGGGGTGTGTCAATCCTACCTCCTCCTCCTTTCTCAGGAAAATAGACTTGGGGGGCATTCTGCCCACCTCCTCTGCTGGAACACAATGGCAAGCTCATAGCTTGTTTTTTCCACATGTGTCTGGACATGTTTTCCAGATCAGGATTGGCTGCTGTATGTCTTCAATCTAGAGGACAATGTTTTCTGCTAATATGCTTGAAGTTATGGCTTGTAGAGCAGGTTCCATAAAAGATATGGAAGCATCTCCTCCCCTTTTAAAAATGGAGTCTCCTCATTTTTCCTGAGGGAGACATGGAAACAGCTGTGCTTCCCACTCCCAGGAGTGTGGCTACCTATCAGGTCAGGTCTTGGGAATGATTCTCTGATCATTATGAACACTTGGCTTTCTAAAAAGCAAGGAAACACAAGGAACCCGCAGAGATGGATTAGAAGATACATTTTTATCCTGAAATGGGGGCATTTTACAGTTAACCAAAGAGGTATCAATGCCATAAAATGGCTCAGGGATCCAAAGCTTGTTGGCCATCTGATTTCTAGAAATTACCTAAAGAAGTAAGGCTGTGTCATATCCTGGGAAGTGGACAAAGGTCCAACCAGGCCTGCATTGACCCTGAACTCGGCTCCAACTCTTTTTAGGCCTGGTTTGCAGAGGACTGACCCCAGAGGCATGTCTAGGGAAGCGCCCATTCGAGCCTGTTCATTGCATGCTTGTACAGGCACAAGGAAGGGGCGCTGGCAGCTGTGACTTCTTGGATCTGAGGACCAGGACATTCACAGACACTAAACTCAAAGACCCTACAGGGGAGCAAGAAGGTTCCCTCCACTTCCATCCGTGTCTTCTCACACCTCTGCAAAAGCTCTTGGAAGCCTAAAGACCAGATACCAATCCTTCCATTCACTAGCGAAGAAAGCCTCACAAACATTTTCACGTCAATCCAAACCTTTTAAAGGCAACCAGACCTCAAAGAGTCTCTAAAAGACTGGGGAAAGATCATCCTACAGAAAAAAATGTGACCTCAAGTTAACAAGTAACACTACTCCACTTCCATTAGTCTCTTTAGATCATTCAAACTGTCAGAGGCTGAGGGGAAAAGTGAGTGCACACTGGGGTCTATAAGCTGGAATCAACTGGATTGGTCTCTGAGCGAGATGCTACATATACCAGCTTCAGCCCACATATCTGTAGGACTGGCCCAAGGAATGCAAACTTAGACTTATTTTCTTTTATAATTAAAACCTGTGAGCTGTGTCAATTACATGGTTAGGGGCCAACTGGTAAACAGATCCTATTTCTGCTCTCAGTGCTTTGGGTGTACCATGATTCAATGAAAGTGCCGAAGTTAAGACATGGGTCATATAATTGTCTCAACTGTAAGAAAGGAAGAGAAGATTCATTGAAATAGACAGACTGGGGAAGAAGAATTAGGGGAAGACAAAATCAACTGGTCACTTTCAGGATGTGAGGAGCTCAACGCGCTGAAGGGTTAATTGGTAGAAATCTTTCATTTTTCTGAATATTAGTGAAGAAGACTTTCTTCATGTAAGGAGTTTGTACGTTATTTCATTGTTATTCAGTTCCCGAATTCTAATGAAAATTCCTAGGGATGAACCCCCCCCCCACTAATTGGCAGGAGGGAAGCAGTGCTTCCCACAGGCAGGCCAGTGGGTCAGAATGTACCCTAATGCCCAGGAGAACTATTCCGCCCTTTTCTGAGGGGAAAGTGAGACTCTCACAGTAGACATGGCTTGTTAGAGTTTTTGTTAATAAAACCAGCATTCCGGATGAAAACAAATCATTGAAATATTTCTCCTCATGCTTAACAATAGAAAAGTTAAATTTTTCCTTTTAAAAATGAAGTAACAAATCAACCAAGTGACAAAATGGAAAATAAATGCCCAGTCCCCCTTTCATGAATGTGGCCCCAAATGCCCGTGGCTCTCGGAGGGCTCATGTTAGTCTTTGAGCAGTGTAGCAAGTCTTGTGTTTAACCCGTGCAGACCCACACACAGGAGCATTCTTCCTCTCTCCCTGACTGAGATGACACATCTACGCTGCTGGATTGGCTAACCTTTCCACAGAATGTACCCAGGGGCATTTACCGGCTTTGTGTCTTAAATGGCACAATGTCTGAACCCCATCAGCAAATCAACCTCTGCTTCCATCTCTGTACCTTCTGGGTAGCTTTTCCTAAGCCTTAGCTGTCCCAAAGAGGCCTGACATTTTTAATTGGTATAACTCTGCAGCCAGCAAGACATCCATCATTAATGTAGAAGTCTAAAAGTTTTTATGCTTTTTACATTGACTTGAGAGATTAAAAATAAAAACATCATCCAGCTAATAAATAAGAAGTTATCTCCAAGGGTGGTGGTGACTTGGGAAGGTCCTCAATATCCTGTGTCTGTGGAGGACGTTGGGCTGGTTGAGGGTCTACTGGACAGAGGACAGACGCAGCTCTTCTTAAACTTGGCATCCTCCCATAACAATAAGCAGTTACCCTTTCTCCACCTTCTTCCCCAATAAATGGATGAGAAAAAACTGTAACAACTATAGGAATCTCCGGTGTTGGGCAGGATGCATGCTGTTGTGGGTCCATTGAAACACAGCCTGGCATCCATGAATGGTAGAAGACAACAACTCCTGGACTCAGAGGCTGACTGACACACACATCTTGTATAGGTAAACGGGAAGTCCACCCCTTGCAGTTCTTTTTTGACCAGCCTTTAAACTGTGATCCACTGAATTCTTTTCTAGGTCACACTGAATAACCCCAAGCAGACAGGTTCTTGACAGAGTTTTGAAGGAAGGCCCACACAAGACAAAAGGCTGCACAGGTGATTGCCGGCAGAGTAGGAAGGTCTGTCAGCACGTCCCAGGCATCCCTTGCTGGGCTGTCCAGAAGAAGTCCATTCTTCATTAGGGCTGCCCCAGTCACTTGGCCAAATTCCTCCTCTGGGCTCTTCAGACCACTGCGAGGAAGAAAAAACAGGTTCAGTTCAGTGGGCCAGACCCCAGCCACGCTGGCCAAACAGGCTTGAGACAGAAACTTAGAGATGCATCAGCCAAGGTCACCAAGTTCTCTTGGGCACTCAGACCCAAGTCCAAATTCTGCAGGTTCAACCTCAGGGGAAGCAGCTTCTGAAACTGTGTTTTCAGTGCCAAAGAAAAGGCTGACCAAAAGTGAAATGAGTTGTGGCAGAAGAGAAATGGGGATGCACCCTGTTTTGTGGGCCTCAATTCAACTGGAAGTGATTTGACCCAGCATGTGGCTAGCTCCCTCATAAAGTATGGTTTAGTGGGCAATTCATGAGCTGGTGTAGGGTTCTGGTGGTAGGATCACTTCCTCTATGGCCATACAAGAAAGGACCCATTTGTTTCTCAATGGGTGGGGGGCCCTGAGGGCATCCTCTGTGGCTGTAGTGGTGAGGCAGCATGGACCTCATTCCCAGCAGCTCCCCAGTCGGCCTGAACAACTTCCTACCCTGGTCCCTCTCAAGGTCCCTGCGGAGATGGGGAGGTATGCCTCATCTCGGAGACGGGCTTCAGTCTCAGTGGCCAGATCTATCCCCAGGCTCAAGGCTAATGTTCTCTCAAATGTGGTAGAGAAGAAGTAATAAGAAGAAACCTAACTCTGCTCCGAATGACTCTGCTGAGGTGTGGACAAATGGTACAAAATTTACTATGAATTTTCTTAAAAGGTGTAAATAACTTTTTTATTGGTGCTAAAAGACAAAATAAAATTTACCTCCATTAGCTCAATGGATGGCCCCAGAAGTTGTGGAAGAGAGATGTGAGTGAGGCCTTCAGGGGCCTTGGTTCTCATCCTACTGCCCTCTCCTCCCACGGTCTCATGGTGGGACCCAAGAAGGCCTTTGGCAGACTCAGTTTACCTATATCACCCACAAATCCTCCTCTTCGTTAAGGCTATTTTGGGGATGAACGGATTAGCATTCTCCCAGATCAAAAGAACTGCCCTGGCACAATTACTGTGGTTCTTGAAATGAAAAACAAATATACGGTGCTCCTGGGCCTTCTGTTCCCTCCAGGTCAGATACCATGAGATTTAACAAACACATCAGTTGCTTTTCTCCCTACGCTCTCCATGCAACCTTGAGCTTCTGGAATGTCAACTGTTTATCAGAGAAGGACACCTTGGGTGGATCAGCCTGGGGCAATTGCCTCCTGACCCACTACTTCCTCTAAAGAAACTTTTATGATGGGCTCTATTGGTCTAAATAGCATTGCAGAAAAATGGCTGATGTGAGATTTCTCAGAGTTTGTCTGGATAAAGGAGCAATTTGGCTCCATGAGCCCCAAGCTAGTGATGCTCAGATGCGGGCTCCTGAGATGTGTGTTGGCTCACGTCTAGATGACCAGTCCACTTTAAGGATGTTGAAAAACATGCATGAAACAATGAAAAACGTAATGATGGTCACAGGATCTAAGAGTTTGAAGAGTCCTTAGAGACTTTCAATAGGAGAATCGCTCACTCCACAGATGAGAAAAGGGAAGTGATTTTTGTTTGTTTTTTTTAAAAGAAATGAACATCTATTGCATATCCACAGTTGGGGATACACGATACTAGATGCTTAATGTCTGTACTTATTCAACTTGCACAACATTTTAAAATAAGAAAACTGAGGGTTAGAGATGTTATGTAACTTGTTAAAAGTCACACAGTCACCAGTAAGGAGAAAAGAGCTCCCCTTTGAGTAAAACACACATTAGGCCAGTGATGGCGAACCTATGACACGCGTGTCAGAGGTGACACGAGAAATCATTTTTTTGGGTTGATTTTTCTTTGTTAAATGGCATTTAAATACATAAAATAAATATCAAAAATATAAATCTGTTTTACTATGGTTGCAAATATCAAAAAATTTCTATATGTGACACGGCACCAGAGTTAAGTTAGGGTTTTTCAAAATGCTGACACACCAAGCTCAAAAGGTTCGCCATCACTGCATTAGGCTAAACTAAACCTGACTTGGTAGATAAATATCATCTTTTCTCCCTCTTCCGGCTTCATCCTCCAAGAACTTCTGCCCTGACCTGGAGAAGGTGTCATTTTCTCCCCCAAAGGGGAAAAGGCCCCTCCTCGATGCAGCCCCTTACCTGTTTCTGAGTGGCAGCAAGCAGGCCTTCCTTTCAGGAGGGCACTGGGCTTCTCGTGCCGGCAGATGAGGGCCCGGCACCACTCACAGTATTTTCGGACCTGGCAGCAGCTGCAAAGACACAGAGAATACGGTCGAGGCAGGAGCCTGGCAGGAGTGCCCAGCTGGTGCAATGTCTGCCTGAGGAGCCTTCTGGGCAGCTCTGGGCTTTCAACCAGCCTCCCGTGGGGGCCTCTAGAGGGACAGACACAGCAAGGGACTGAGGGCCCGGCTGGGCGGTGGCCTTTAGGGCAGATGCTGGCCAACAACAAAGATACCCATTGACCCCCCCAAGGCCCCAGCTCTGTTTGTGCAGCTCTGCTCAGGGCAACTGGGCTCCAGCTTGCCCGACTGTCAGAGAGGCCCAGTCACCCACCCATCTGCCCTCCCCATAAAGCAGCAGAAGGTTAATTCCGTGAGTAGGACTGGGACAAAGCAGCTGCTTCAGGCTGGCAGGGCTGTGAGGGCTTGGGAAGGGGGCAGCCCTCCATCAGGTATTTCCAGCAGCAAAGCAGGGAATGTGGATGGGCTGAACTGACTCATGGAAAGAACGAGAATGAGGCATGGATCTCAGTGGCTTTGAATCCTTCTCTGAGGACTAACATCCTGTAGTTGGGACAAACCCAACTTCCTTGTGAACCTGTGCTACCCAGAGTCCTGAAGCATTCTGGCTATGACCGCTCCTGCCTCCTTGGGTGGGCAGGAAAGAACAGTTTGTAGAGTTAGCGTGAAAAAAGAATCCGAGAACTCACAGAAGGTCAGAGGAGAAGCACTAAGTCATACATTACCTAGAGACACGGATGGCTGTTTTCCATGGAAGCCCCATAGAAGACTTCATTTCCTAACCTTAATGTATATATAATCTATGAATCCACTGACCAGGGCTGGGAGAGATCTCTTGGCTGACATGAGCCTGAGAACAGACAAGGAAGCAAGCCTGTTGCTGTGTTTCCTTCCCTCTTGGTGCCTGGTAGCAATTCACAATCCTCAGCCCTGGGAAGGCTCCTGGGACCCCTGAATCTCTGGGCAGCAGACTGAGAAGGGGCCCTGCAATACTTCTGCCCAACCTGTTCTGGCACGGTGGCCAGCAGTCTGCCTGGACGGGTCCCTCCTGAGTTACACAGTCCAGGCTGGGACCAGCTCATCCCACGCTGAAGGCCTTGATTCCAGATCCGTCATTGATTGCTGTCTTGCAGTCAGCTAGCCAGGCGGGCTTGCCCCAGTCACGCCCCAGCCAGGAGTGTCCCAGGGCAGTGAGAGCCAAGTCTCTTTATCTCTCTGGCAGGGGATGAGTTGGTCCCAACCAGCTCTGCAACTCAGGATGGCCCCCTGCCCAGGCATCTAGCAGCCTGGCAAGCATGAGGGCTCAGTCTCTGGCTCAGAGATTCTAAAGTTGGTATTTGGCAAGGACGGGCTGGCAAAGGACAGAGAAGTGGGACTGGCTGCCTCCCTGGGAATGAGAGGCTGTCCAGTATCCTGGTTTATTCTTGTCTCAAAAAATCTGGTGAAAATGAACTTTTAAGTCCCTCTAGAGAGGCCCACATGGGCACTCAGTCTTATTCTAAGGCTCTAGGACCCTCCTTGCCACAGAAATAGGACTGTGAACGTGATGGGTGAGCGCAGGTAGCTAGCCAGCCATGAGAATTGATGCCAGTAGTCCATTAAGTTGCTACTGCTCCCCCAGGGAGGGTCTTCATGAGTGGCAGAACCTGAGCTCTGCCCCAGCTTGGACCAGGGCTGCTTGTCCACTACCTACAAACATGTTTTTCCAAGACAGACGGGAATGGAACAGATACTGCTAGGAGAGGAAGGAAAGGCCAGCCCAGTTCAGACCTCATCTCTCACCACTTAATGCTGGCTTATTCCAGGAGAAGGATGTGAGCAGGTTGTGGCTACTGTCAACGAGCTGAGGCTCTAAAGGCCATTTTATTCATTGCCAGAACCAGGGACGATATGGGCAAGCAAAAGGGGGCAAGAAACATCGGAAAACAATCTGTAATGGTCTGGGCTCAGGAAGGCTTCCTGGAAGATGCAAGGTGGAAACTGAGTTTTGAAGGATGAGAAGGGCAGAGAAGTGCAAAAACGAGGAAGGGCTGTCATTAACTTGTCATAATAGTAACAGTGGCCTTAGACATGGCTTTAGGATTTGCAAAGAGCTCCTGTCCAAATGAGGCTGGGAGCTGTTTCCAGTTCACTCTGGGGCACCTGGATGTTCCTTCACGAAAGAGTGAAGGCTCCAAGCGAACAATGAGGCGGGGGGTGGGGATTGGGGTGGGGTGGGGTGCCTTTGTTCTGCGCGGCTTCCAGCAGTGCACAGGCCCACTGCTGGGACCCTCCCAGGACATGTGCCCTTTGACAGCTTGGCTGTCACCAAAGTTCCTCTTGGCTTAGCTGATACCAATCAGACATCACAGCAACAAACTGCTGAGGTGACCCTGTTATCAGGGCATGCTGCAGATGTCCCTGGGAGGGCGGGAGACCTAACCTTAGGGCAGCAAATACTCACTGTATCAGCACACACGTGATGATGAGGCCAGCCAGGGCCACGACGGAAACCACCACTAAGGCGGTGATGGCCTGCTTCTTCTGGCTGGCGGCCACCACGGCCAGGAGGTCTGCATGCTCACAGCGTGCTCCGACATACCCAGAGTGGCAGCTGGGGAAGAAAGGGACATTAGCACGCTCTCCGGTAGAAGGCTTGTTTCCCCAAGTCCTCAGGGAAGGCAGCGCTGAAGGGACTCAAAGCCCCAGGAAAAGCCCAAAGGGACCCCTCCAGGTGTCAGTAAAGTCACCCCCGCTTCTCTGCACAGGCACCTCTTGCTTGGAGAGTGAGGGGTAAGGAACCAGCTTTATCGCGTGGGGATGAAAGGTGCTGCTGAAGCACTTTATTATTATTGTCACCAAGCCAGCTCTTGGGGGAATGAAGGAGGCAGCAAATGTGTTTATGACACGGAGTTCATTTTGGCAGTTCATAAAAATTCAGGTTATTTTTAAACCAAATGTGTGTATTCAGAATTTCTGATGATGAGCTTAAGAAAACACACTAAACCAGCAGAAGACACAGGCTGTGGTTTGCTTATCTTCTTTAAGTTTAATTAGCTCTGCAAGCATTTACCTGGTGGCCCAGCACATGAGGCACGTACTGACATTAGAGCCAGCACTACTAACTAGTAATTGTAGGACCTTCGAAGCCACTGATCTCCGGTGAACCCTGGTCCTCATTTCCAACAACAGCTGGTTTCTCCACTAGAGGATTAGTAAGGGCACAAAAGAGGTCAAGTTCGTGAGCTGCGTGTAATCTTTAAGGGCAACATCAACACAAGCCACTGTTATTACGGGCATGGCTACTATTCAAGGCTCTTTGGCATCATTCATCTCAGTAACAGCCTCCTCCTCCTCCTATATGCTAAAGGCGAATGCTGCTTCTTCCAGCTCGCTCTGGTCTGTCCTACCCACCTCCATCCCCCAGCCCGATTCTGGGGCAGCCACAAGTGCTTCTCACGTGATGATTCCTTAGGACATGTCTACCCATAGGAAGAGATGGCCATTTTCTGATGCAGGCATTTCCCCTCTTCAAAGCATATTATTCTTTTCAATAGAAGATACTTAGCTGACACATTGGTCTCTGTGTCTGGGGTGACTTTCAAATTGTGATGAAAATGTTTGATCACCTTCTCAGGTGGGCAGCCTTCCTTCCCACAGGGAACTTCCCAGGAGCAGCCTTGCACCAAACATCACACCCTGGTTTTAATGTTTTTTCCCCCCTCAGACATGGTAATGATAGCTAAACTTTCATTTTTTAAGAGTGCTTTTTGATGAAGTAGATAGCCTGCCACCTTCACTTTTAGATTAAAAGACATCTGAGGAACAAGGAAAAATGAAAAGGCGGTGAAGGGTCGTGGTGTGCCAGCCTATTGTGCCAGCGCTAGCCTCAGAGGCATTCCATTTGTGAGTCCCCTAAACCTGTGCTCCTGGCTGCCAGACCCCACATGGCAGAAGGGCCCTTGGAGTTAGGTCCTTGGATAATGAGAACCCTCGTTTTGGGAATATAATGCTTTTTCATTATAACCTATTTCATTATAACTATTTCATTATGATGTTAATGAACTTAACTCTTATTTATACCAGTTAGCCTTTGGCAACATTGGTTTCATTATACATCATTTCGTGTAAAGTCTTAGATGACATTAAGTGAGAACTTACTGTACAGTACATTTTCCAGGAGCGTAGGTTTTGCTCAATGTTAACAAAAAATCATTTTAATGTTAAAGAAACAGATACTCTACGCAGTGGTCAGCAAACTGTGGCTCGCGAGCCACATGCGGCTCTTTGGCTCCTTGAGTGTGGCTCTTCCACAAGATACCACGTGCGGACGCGCACGTACGGTGCGATTGAAACTTCGTGGCCCATGCAAAGAAGTCGGTATTTTGTGGAAGAACCACACTCAAGGGGCCAGAAAGCTGCATGTGGCTCGCGAGCCGCAGTTTGCTGACCACTGCTCTATGGGGTTAAGTAGATGCTGCAAAAATTGCTGATTAAGGCTACAACCTGGGATACCATGGCATAAAAGCTTCTGTCTGTAACACTGCTTAATGGAAGTCTTAACACTGGCCCTCTTTCTCCCAAAGCCCAACTGTTACCTATCTAAAAAGGTATGTTTTTAGTTTGAATTCAGGCACTTGCTTTTCTGTTAAGGGTTATTTTACATGTAGCACGCCCTTTCTCATTTAATCCTTCACAGAAAAGTCAAGTCATTTGGTTGTGCCCACCCTGCTGGGGAAGAGAGAGAAATTCATACCCAGGTCTGCTGACCCTAGAGGCTGGGTTCTTGCTCACTTACGAGGCTGCTTCCCCTGCATACTAAACAGGTTGGGAAGAGAATGCCACAGATTAAGCTCTTGATCAAACCTGGCTTTTGGCTTAGCCTCCAATCATGATAGGGTAAAAGATCTGAGGTTCCACAAGGTTGCAGAGGGTTTTCATTGTTTGGTAATTAAGGAAGCTGAGGTGGGCCAACTAGGATGGATAATGCCGCACAGGGATCGCTATAGACCCGGGACGCACAGGGATCGCTATAGACCCGGGAAGAAGAGAGCAGGCCTCTGAACAAAGTGGAGGAGGGGGGATCTCTAGGAAGACGACTCTTCTTGAAAAGGATCTGGACCACAGAATTCTGAATGAGAACCCTGGCTCTCACACACTTGGGCTGGGAAGGAGAAGACCGAGGGGCTAGGGGACGGGGCAGATTTTTTGTTTGTTTGTTTGGTATCAATAACAATTATGTGAAGGCAAAAGTCAAGAAACGGCTCACCCTATCAGTTGTGAAAACAAAGTCACTGGCCCCTTCTCACTAGGGGGAAGCTAACAACAGACTGGATTGGGGGCTGAAAGGCGATGAGCAGCAGATGTTGGCGATGCATAAGCTAAGCTGTCAGTGTCTAAAGAGAACCCTGCAAAGGGTCCCTTCTCCGGCCCACACCCAGATGGCTCCCACCTGAGTTTTGGGCTTCCTCCATTTGGTATCTGACACCCTATTTCTGCAGGGCCAGAATCTACCCTCTCTACTTTATTACCCATCACCAAGGTTCCAGCTAATCCAAGTTGTCCCACCCTCCTCACTAGTCTAGTGTCAAATAAACGCATGTCCAGCACATAGGCACTTAGGACACACTTGCCTAATGAGTGAATACAACCCTCCCACTTGCCTGTTTCAACTCCTATTACCTTCTTTGCCTGGACAATTATTATTCACTCTCCTCCTCAGATTCCATCTCAAATACTACAGTCTCTAAAAAGATGTAACTTACAGACCCAGTCACCCATCCATTCATTTTTCATAGCTCTTTCCACGGCTCTCCCTTAACCTCTCCTCCTCCTCTGAATGCCTTCAGGACTATGCCCACCTCTCTGACTGCCCTTCCACTAGCCTCACTGTAGGGCAGACTCCATGCTCTTGTGGGCAAGACCTAGCTCTACAAAAACTGGTGAACTACTGAACAGAATGGGCTGGGGAGCCTGGGCTTTGTGGCGAATTGTTAGATTTCTAACCAGGAGTTGCAGCCAAGCCAATGGGACTTCTCTGTAGACAGTATTAGTGCAGCTTCCTCCTAGAGAAGAGTAGTGATGAGGATTAGCATAAATATTTGTGAAGGGTCTAGGTTATAGGTGGGTGAACACCTATGAGGCAATTTCATGTGACTTGAAATGTTCCTCCTTTAATCTTCAGGCTGTGGGAGAGACTGGTCCTACCACCTCCTCAACCACTTGATTCTGAAAACCCTATGAATTAACAAATGAATGCTGGGAATTCTAAGAAATCCCATTTAAATAAGAGTGGCAGCCAGGTGCTAATTACAGCACCTATCACTCATTTATCAAGGCAGTAGGCTAAACTCCTATATGAATTACAACTCCTATGTGAATTACCTCTTATTATTATTATTATTATTATTATTATTATTATTTTTAGAGAGGGAGGGAAAGAGAGAAACATTGATGAGAGATGAGAAACATCTATCTGCTGCCTCCTGCACACCTCCTACTGGGAATCTAGCCAGCAACCCAGGCATGTGCCCCGACCAGGAATTGAACTGGTGACCTTTAGGTGCACAGGATGACACCCATTTGTAACTAATGTTGTGGCCCCACCCCATCACAAAGAAACAGAATTTCCGGAGGATGAGGCCCAGAAATCAGGATTTTAAAAAGATTCCCAGGTGATTCTAATGTGCAGCCAAGGTTGAGAACCACTGTTCTAGAGGTTTAAAAACTAATACTCTCAACTATGAAGGCTGTCTTTCTGGGGTAATGCAAATTAGTTTGGATGATACTCTGGGATAGTGATTTAATGACAAACTCACAAACCTCATAACAAAAAGAAATATGGGCTGCTGACTGCCCATCAAGTATGGAAAATTGCAAAGATGCCCCGGAGAAGGATAACGACCTGGGCCAGGCCACATTGTGTTGACTTTCCGCGTTCTTCCCACCAGAGAAACTTTTGTGTGTTCTGGGTCCTTCACAATCAGCTCTGCCTGCCTCAAAACAACCCGAGCAATGGCCCTAGCACATCAAGAATGTCTTCATGCCAACACTATTGCCTGTCACCTTAGTGTTACAGCTGCAAATACAGCTGAGCCTTGAACATCACAGGTTTGAACTATGTGGTTCATTTATATGTGGAATTTTCTCAATAAATACCTGTATTGTTTGTGATCCCTGTTGGGAGTTCGCCGATATATAGGGCTGACTATGTGCACTCATCTACAGCCTTTATCTAGGGGACTTGAACATCTGCAGATTATAATGTTGGTGGGAAATTAATCTCCTATGGATACCCAGGGATACCTAAATTTTGGGGGAGTCAAAAGTTAATATGTGGATTTTGTACTTTGTGGAGGGTGAGTGTCATTCAAGGGTCTAGTGTACTCAAATCTCAGTCTCATTGGGTTAGGAAGCCCAACGTGCTTCTCAATGAAAACTTACCCAGTGAGGAAAGGAAGCACCTGGGTGACTGCCTAATGTGTGAGACTCAAGGTCATGGCCTAAGGGAGCTGAGAATAGCAAGACTTAGCCCCAAGCAGCCCAAATGTAGCTGAGAGGCAGAATAGCCTGTGTTCTAGATGCTTGGGCTTCCCCAGGACATCCCAGGTCAAA